TCGGAGAGGAGAAGGTAAGAAAACTGGCTTCGGAACTTAGTCCCTGCACTGTAGAATGCATATGCATAATGCCATTTCTGAGAAATGGTGAGAGCTTTCAATTTATGGTTCGTCACTTGGGAAACAAAGGTATTTTATAGGGCTGCTTTGTTCTGCAGACTAGCAGACTTAATAGTCTTGTCATACCAATTTCTAGTTTAAAATGTATAACCTGTGGATTTTCCCAAAAAAGGAGAGATTCTTGTAATTCCCTGCTTGAACTGAGGCTTATCGCCTTCCTGTAAGTGCACGTGCTGCAGAAACCCAACAGGAAAGACATTAGAGGGGCTTATGTTCTTTCCCTTTGTCCAAAAAGGAACTGCTCTTTACCGTAAGCTGAGCATTACCGCTGCATTTCTGGCAAAGCGCAGCATGTAATCTGCATTTCCTCTATTACAAAACATCTTTCATTGAGTGTAAAACCAGTCAGGCAAATTGATTGAGTAGAGAGTGTATAGTGAACTTGTGCTTGAGGCAGTCTAAGTCTGTTCTGTGTTTTGTTTCTGTTGACTGACTTAGATGGTAATTGATGCGACACGTTCCCATTGCTAACAGCGACAGCTTTTGTCTGCCTCCGCTTTCCAAGGTGAGCCGCTTCTCCACGCTCTCCCTCCAGCATGACAAGCGACTCGATGATGAGTCACGAAGAGGGAAGCGGAAGATCAAAGTGGTGTACGAGCAGGTGGGAACTGTTTACAAAGCCACCGTCAGAGGGGAATTCTTTGCTGCATAAATATAAATATATCCTGACGTGAATGCAGGTGGCTCCCTTAGCAAAACTTTCCACCCTGTGATTTAACAAGCAGTATTTAGTCTACCTTGTATTGCACCATTAAATTGGAGTAAATGTGCACTTTAGACCAAATTGTGGCATTCCTCTTCAAAAACATGAGGTCATTCCAGTTACTTTCGAACTACCTCAGCAGCTCTTAACAGCTTGATCAGAGTAATGGATAAAGTTGTGACTCCTGCTAAACCAAGATATAAAAACACCAACCAAATATATTGTTTTATACCTCTGACCTAAAATCTCTACTTGACTATTCAGACCATCCAGTTTACATCTAGTGGTTTATTCAGGTATTTATGATATTTTCGATCTTACCTTGTCATCATACACACAGCTACGGTTCACAATATCATACTAAGAGCTGTTTGGCCCAGTGGGTAAGTTTTGAAAAGGTGCATTGATTTTACAGGGTTAATAATCCAACCCCGAAAAGCTGAAAAGGATTTTTCAGAAATTCTGGGTTGACAGTAAATTTTAATTATTTTTAATTATTAATTATTTTTTAAAGTCCGCCCTCGTGGAATTCCTCAACTTCATTTCCTTCTCATTCTTTTTCTTCCTTTTTATCTTTAGTTATTTTCTCTCTTTGCCTGTCTCATAATGTTTCCGTCTTTCGGTGTGGTTGCCTGTCTCATAATGTTTCCGTCTGTAAGTTATGACATTTACCTCAACATTTTTTTGGTTCAGTGAAATTTCAAGTCATCCCTTGTTTGCTGTAGTCACAAAGAAATAATTTCTCATTCTCATACTGTTATTCAACAGCCACAGCAAAACAACCCATATCTACAATGAGTCATAGGGTTATTCAGCACTTTTGTTTTCTTAGGTTTTTATCATTACATATTTTGTCAACCATACGTGGTGGATTATTATTTCTGTTATATTAAGAGCATGCCATTCACATTATTTGTATCTTCGGGTTCATTTTTGGTCTATGGGCATGTGGATAAAGTGTTACCAGGTTTGTATGATGATAGAATCTGTGAGTTTTACTGATGAATGTGATCAATTCTAGGAATTTTGATTAATTACATTTTTAAAAGGAAACCCTTTTCCTCACATTTTGTGAGAATGCATTATGTAAAATGTCAAGGCCTGGGAATGGATAAGCCATAATAGAAGATTCTTAGATGGATGAATGTATTATGTGATCCATAAAAAATTCTGAATGGGCAGTCCCAAAGGACAAAGCATCCTTGGGTCGTTCATGCGTCATGTATAATTTGGAGGGTATTGTGGTTTGATTATATTTTAATCTCCTTTTGTATTTGTTTTCAAGGAAACAGCTCCACATATGACTACGTCCTGTGAAAGCAGGGCTGACAAAGCACGAGCCTTTTTGGGGGTTATAAAGGACACTTTGAGTCAGCTGAATTTCCAGAAAGTTATGGAAGCTCTTCAGCAGTACAAGAAGACTGACGATTTGCAGGCATTACTGACTGACATCGTGGATGTTTTTGCCAAAGACTCAAACACGCATAACTTGCTCAGAGGTATGGATAATGATGATACAGACTTACAGTTCAGTGTGGTTAGCATCGTGCCAGAATAACGTAACCACTCTATTGTAAAATGACTACTTCGGTTATATGATACTGTGGTTTGTTTCTGCTCAGATTTCTACCAGTTCGTCCGGCCTCACCATAAAAAGGAGTTTGATGCGGCATGTCTGAAGCTGACAGGCACTGGTTGTGGATACAAACCTGAGCACTCTCTGGCCAAGGAGGAAAGAGACAAGTTAATGTCTCGATCAGGTGATTGTTTTTCTTTAGGCGGTATGTTTTGTACTGATTTAGTGTGTTATGCGGAAGCTGTCATCGTTTAAGGTTAAACAGTGACTTGTTTGAATTACTTTTTCCCCTCCTTTTTTGCTTTTGGTCCTTTAAAGCTGTGGTAACTGAGCTGGATGTTCGTGCCACTTGCTCCACTGATCCCAGCTCAGCTTGTGACCAACTGAATGCTGTCAGCCAGCTTAACAGAGGAGGATCCCATCTAACCACAAGGGGTCTGAGCAAAGGTGGGCACAGTACCAGCAATGAGGGGAAATTCCAAATGTGAGGAAAAATACAATAAAAAATCTTCCTGCAAGAATAATTTTGATATTTCTCAGAACTGATGCCCTAAAAACATATGCTATTGCACTTTGACTTGTTTTTCACTCTGGGTTTTTGGTTCTGTCCCAGTAAACAACCTAGAAGGTCAACCTGGATGTGCAGAACAGGCTCCATGTCAGTCTTCCCAGAAGAGAAGCTTCTATTCTGCCTTCCTGTCTGATGTGAAAAAGGCCATTGGAGTCGAAAAATCCAATCAGTTGTTTTCGGCACTGCAGAATTATAAAAACACAGACAACTATGAAAATATGGTTTCCACAGTAGTGAGTCTATTAACTGAGAAAAGTGAAGACTTTCGTTTTATTAAAAGTAAGTTGTAAATAATATACTATATTTCATACCCTACTATGGCGGCCAACCCAATATTATTGGGTCATAATTGACATACTAAAATCAACTCGCCCTTCATTTTGCAGCTTTCGCCATGTTTGTCCGGCCCCATCACAAACGGCAGTTCCTGGAGCTGTTTAAAGATCTGGCAGGTACTACGATACCCGAAGAAGATGTCAAGGCAGATCCTGCCATTACTGTCGAAGGTAAAATAAAATGTAGACCTTGTTTATCCTTTGACCCCAGCGTCAAACTGCAAATGTTCCATACTAGTATGAAGTTACTTTAAAGTGATTCAGTGTGCTCTGGGTTCAAGAGGAACAGGATGATTTCAGTTACATTTTTTGTTTGTGCATTTTTGGCTATTGTGCCTCTAACAAAACGTTTATTCCGTGTTCACAGCTGCTAATCCAACTCAAGTGAGAGCACAGAGCAAGATATCCTCCTTCTTCTCATGCAGTCAGAGAAAGTAGGCTACCAGACCATTTTTGCACAATCACTACTTCAGATGCAGTACCTTCCAGTTGGATGACACTGGCTTCCTCTTCACACATGGTGTCGATAATGTACTGGTTCTGAAATCATCTTTTTTCAAAATAGACTGCTGTGGCAAGACCCATCAAACCATAATTATACAGAGTCCGTATTATACGTCTGGGACTCCAGAGAAGGTCATTGTGCATTCAGAAGCCAAGTGCCTTTTTAAATTTTTTGGTTCTTCATTTTGTTGGTGATTCGACATGGATTTTCTCACAGAGTAATTTATTTTACATGCTGCTATTCAGACAATGTAAAGGATTCATAAAGGAGAGTATGAACATGCCAGGTTTTATTTTTTATTTTTTTAATCAAGCTTTGAAAATGTAAAAATAAAGAATGCCTGTTATAATATTCATGTTTTGTGTATTATTTGGAGACCTAACAGAAGATATGCAAAGAGCTAAATACATTCATAGTAGTGTACTGCAGGATGTAAGCTAATTAATGCAGTCCATCAGTCCTCTAACCACTTAACCTGGTCAGGATTGTAAAGGAACCTGGAGTCTAGGGCACAAGGCTGCGGTACACCATGGACCGCAGATATTTTGGATATCTGAAATTAAAATTAACTAGTAACAATTGGATTGTAGATATCTGAATTAGGAAAAATAGGAATTTGTCCTAGTAATAATTCCATTTCAGATATCGAAATTGTTCATTCTGGATATCTGAAATGTAAATGTAGATATTTGAAGTAGAAAGCTCAGCAGACATGATTAGCAAAAATCACATTTGTCCTAAGCAGAATAATGTTGTGGATATCTGAAATGCTCTTCTTGACTAGGGTTACTGTATTTGGCGAGATGAAGAAGAGGACGTGGGCGGGCTCAGAATATTAAGTTTTCACGTTCACCGTCCACTCAGGTAGTGCCCCCCCCCCCTATGAATATTAATGAGTTTTTTCTAACCACGCAGTAAAACGAAAATTCATGTGCGGGGAAACCCGGACGTACACCCGGACCTTACACTTAACTCTCGTTTTACAATCTACACACGACCGACACGATATTCATGTATACAAATCCTTTTCAAAAAATGTTACAAAACACTAAGCTAAAGTTCAACCTAAAGCAAACGACGCGATCCACTTTTCAAACTAAAAGAAAGCGTCACAGTGCCAGTGGTTTCCGGAAGCTGACATCACTGGTAACCAGCGTTACAGTTTTGAAGTAAACGTGTGTACGAGCCTGTCAAACGCTTTCCCATGATACTGAACGGCTGCCGCATATTGAAACTTGGTCCCTTTTCTTTTCATTGATACTCCAGTGAAACTTGCAGCGCAAAACCCGGACCCGCTGACTTTTTAATAACCGCCCACACGGCCGGACAGGGACCCAAAAAGAAGACTTTGTTCGGGGAAAGCCGGACATATGGTGACCCTATCTATAGAATTTTGACTAGAAAAAAAAAGTTTTAGATATCTTCAAATACAATATTTCTAATAGTAAGAATGTCATTTTAGATTTTAATTCCCATTATCAAAAGTGAGAATACAATTTTGACTAGGGGAAACTGTATTATGTATATCTGAAATGTAATTACAGATATGAGTGTGACTTGATTAAATGTTAAAACGGCCTGCCGTAGTCTGCCCTAGATGTGTAACGAAAAATCTATTCGAAAGCATGTCCAAGTATGTACGATACGGTTGTATTGATTTAAAACCTCTAATACGCCTCAAATAGGGGGTGGAGGTTCGGTACGTGTGACTCATAGCAGATGGATATAAAGCGCATGCAGTTAGTGCACAGAACCGTATACAAGCGCCAAGCAGCAATAGTAACATAATGGTCACGGTAAGTGGAATTTTATGTAATTTAAAACTAGTAAATTTACGGTCTTCTTGACTTATTTATTCATTTACGATTGTATTTTTTGTTTATTCGCCGAGTAATCTGTAATTTTTACAAGGAAACTGTTTATCCAGTTAAACTGCGCGCTTCACTCATTAACATAACATTTTTGTTTTTCTTTTTCCCAGTTAATAGTGGTGTTCTATCTTCTGTCGTCGTTTCTGACAAGCGGCGTTAGTACCCAGGCTGCACACTTTTACAAGTGGAAGGATGACGTGACGGGAGAGCCCGTTACGTGCGAGCGGTGTCCCCCTGGGATGTACGTAGTGAAGCACTGCGGCCGCTCTACGAGAACTCAGTGCGCGGCGTGTCCCGATATGCACTACACGGAGTACTGGAACTACGTGGAGCGCTGTCTCTACTGCAGCGTCTTCTGTACGGCGGAGCAGTACGAGAAAGTTAAATGTAGCCCAAATCAAAACAGAGTGTGTGAATGCAAAGATGGATTTCACTCGAATAGTGGATTTTGTGAGAGGCACCGTGTTTGTCCTGCTGGAGAAGGTGTAATAGCAAATGGTAAGTCATAAAAAGATTCTACAGATTTCGCTTCCAGTGTTTCATTTGCTTGTTTGTTTGAAAAGGTGAAATCGGGACAGTTTGTGTCATTTTGGATAAAAAAAAAATGTTTTAATTTCTACTCCGTTATAAGACACAATGTAATATCGAAAAACAAATATTGTTGTTTGCTAACATTTCCATTCCTTTGGGGAAGGCACTGTGCAAATGGACGTGAAGTGTGCACCATGCTCAGAGGGCACCTTCTCCTCAAAGCCCTCCAGCACAGAGAGCTGTCAGATGCACTCTAAGTGCAAATCAGGGGAGACAGCTATTCCAGGAAACTCCAAGCATGACACTTTCTGTACTACCTGTAATATTTCCATGAATGGCACTGTCCAAGGTGAGACTCCTAACTACAAAACAAGACTCCTAACATATAAGTAAAAATGCTGTGTTGCAAATAGAGTTCTGACAGCTAATCTGTTCTTCTCCAGACAGGGCAGTTTGCGACAAAGCTGTCATTGACTACCTCAGCCTGCAGAGTCTCTCTGCAAAGAAGCTCCTTAAATTGAAGAAGGATGCTAGGAAAATCTTGGATGAAAGCACAAGCAACATGTCTTTGACAGAGCTACTCGTCTTAATTCAGAAAAAATACCATGACCATATATTTGTAAATATCGTGCGGGAACTTCTGAAAAAAGCAAACCTTCACACTTTGGAACACAAAGTTAGGAGATGGTTTTCAGATGAGACTAACAGGGAATGGCGTGAATGGATGCATAGACTTTACATTGACTAGACTTCTGTTTCCAGTCAGTGCTTCTCCAGAACAAATTAATTTCAAACATTTAATAATATTATCACCCCAGTTATGGGGTGATAGTCATTCCATACCTCTGTGGTTGTGTATTTGAATATGGTTCTACAATTGTGTGTGTGGAGTTAGCAGAATGGACATGTTTACATTGTGTGAAATTGTCAGCATAACTGCACATTAATTTTAATTGAAGAGCAAATTTCCAAAAGTCCCTTAGTTTTACTTGTTTATGAGATGAGACCATCAATGACCTGAAGTCAGGATTTCTAATATGTTATGGTTAAGTCCACAGAAGTTCTCAAACAGGTATCCCATAGACTGAGTGAGTTGTGGAAATTTGCTTTTGAATTAGAATCTATCAGTAGTGTCACTGTCATTTAACCAGATGTAATATTTTCTTGTGAGACATTTCTTCCGAGCTTAATTTATTCATCTTGTTATATTTTTATCAAAATATTTTTATATATTTGTACAAAAATATTGAACATACCTTCTGATACATTGTCACATGAAGACAAAGTTTGATAAAAATTCACCTCTGTATTTGAATACTGTTGATTTTTTTCAGATAATATAAAATGAACAGCATGAAAATCTTGTCTAATAAGCCTTATTTCCATCTGATTTATAAACACCACATGTTAATGGAACTGTACCATATAAAAACATATAGGTACACATTCAGATACAAGCAACCACAATAATGAGAGGAAATGGGGAAAAAGTGCCTAAAAGAGAAAAGTCCATTGGGGTTATCACTAGATTCCATAACCTCACTGGCTAATAATGGTAAATAAGCCCCAAATCTGAATACAGAGCCCCAAGGTGTTCATGCGAATTACACACTAATACCCATTCTGCCATTTTGTTCATCCTTATCAGCTTAGAATGGTGCTACAGATAGGAGGCTTAATTGCTAGCACTGTAACAACTGTATACCTGCACCAAACCGCAACAGTGACTCTTTTCTGGGGGGTTTGGAACCATCTTCAACCTCTGCAGTGAAGTTTGCCTGTTCCCTCTGTGTTTCCATGTTTTCTTCCCAGAGTGAAAGTTGAGTAAATATTGGCCTGATTTGTATTTTTTAATAATAACTGACATTTGCTTTATAATTATGTTATACTCTAGGAACATTTCATCAATGTGCAAAAATCAAACAACAACTGGGATTTGCAGTTTCATAACAAAATCAATGCATACCGCACAGCAGTCCTTAAAAGCTAAGAATCTCCCAGGTTGGGGCTATGCAGTCTTAAAGTTGTATGTTTTGGTCTTTCGTATGTTTATTGTTTTGTTTTATTATATGTATTGAATATTCTGCATTTAGGTAATCCTTGCTCTGATGATGTTGCTGTTGAAATGATCAGCTGAAGCAGTAATTCTATATTTACCTGTATTTAGTGGATACTTTTCCACAAAGGAACTGTTGATTATTAAAGTCTCTTAGCACTGCTGCTCTTAGCCATTTGCAATGTAAGAGGAAAAATGTATTCAATTAGTTACTAATCAAAACATAGGTGACTACAAATGGGTTACATCGAAATATATTCTTTTCAGTAAAAAGTTTATATATGGAAATCCAGAGAGGAGATGCATCATAATTATTTTTTCTTCCTATTATCTCAAGATCACAACTTATTTTTCTTGTGCCCTCAAGATAAGGAGTCAATTTTTGTATGATCTTGAGACTCTCGCTACAGGATCTGAGTGAACTGTTGATATGATTTTCGCTTGCGCAAGCATTAAAAGCCAAATTCAAAAGCAACTAAAAACTAAAAGCAAGCCAAATACAAAAAAAGTAATATTCATCCAGTTCTTGTGAGGGGCTTTGCCAGTGTCACTACAGACAAAGGTAACACAGCTCTTGAGCTGAATCATTTCTGGTGGAACAGGGAAAGAACTAAGCTACACAGGGCTCCGGCCCCCCAGGACTGGAGTTTGGCACCTGTGATATAGAGCATGCACGACTCACATACACAGTTGACTCAGATGCATAACTTCTGTTAAGTCATGATCACAAGTTAATTTTCTCATGATCTCGAGATAACTTTCAATATGTAGAGATCACAAGAAAAGTAAATCATGTAAGTCTTCCATTTATCTCCATCCCACTGTTGACCTTTGATAACTATAATACCTCATTATTTTGATTTTGCTTCTGGCCAAGCATCCATAGACTATTCCACTAAATATTAAGCAACAGGGAATTTCATGGTAGATTGTAAAGGTGATGGAATATTCCGTAAGTAAACAAATATCCTGCCATCACACACAACGCTCATCTTTTCCACCCTTCTCACATTCATACTAAGGAAACCACAGTAGATCCAAGATTATCCATCCTGGTCATTCCAGTCATGGGTTTATGACTATCACCTGAGCAATAGATACCAATGACTTGTAGTCAGGTCTTTTTTAGGTTAACAAGTTTTCAAGTCAAATATCACATGCGAGAAAGGAATTCACCCTGACCACAAAGGGTGAGAGCTATAACATAGGTGAAATGTTAGGATAATTAATATGACGTCACAATCACCAAGAAGAAGAGAATCAGTTGGGCGGCTAAAGCTAGACTAGATTAGTATCACATATTTAAATACTGATGTGGACGTGATAACCTTTTCAATACCTAATAGAACATTATTCAGCAAATTATTTTCGTCTTGCGAGTTATGCCTCACGCCCACCTTTTTCATACTTCTAAAAGACATGGAATGCATTCTGAAGGTACCAGCATATTAGAGGTGACACTTCCCCCACATGCCATAGTGCGTAACTTACTCAACAGTCATTTCTCACAGTTTAATCAGTTTCTGTGTCTTGTGCAATGTTTCACATCTACGATGGAAGTTTAATTCATTTCATTATGATGCAGGTAAAATGTAAATCTAAAAAGATATAAACCTGACATGTTTATGGCTTATTGTGACACAGAAGTTATAACTCAGGCTATGGATATAGTTTCACACTGATCACAGAAAGGAATTTTCAGTTTCCAGTGACAGAAAGCTAGGAGGGATTATGACGTGCACTAACAGCAAATAGTTAATTGGTTAATTGGTCAGCTAGGAACATAAATTACTTAAGTGACTTATGACTTTACAGTTGAACAGTTAAAAATATCCATTCTATGTCATTCATTCATCTCCTTCATTGCTTGTACCCAATTATTATGAATAGTAAAACAACAACAAAATTGTTGTACATTCTGATACATTTTCACATAGCAATCTTCAAGTTTGCCCATCACAATCTGGTTCAGATCAAATACCAAAAAAGTCAAGAACA